TATTGGCCAGGTTCATGCTCAGGGAGATATCAGTATAATTAATACTGATGATCAAATAAAATTTTGGAACTATATGGTTTTTAATTCTACAAATGTTGCACAAATATAATCAGTACATGGATTCATATGTTCTCTTGTATTTACTGTATCACTTCTTTTTCTATTGCATGATTAATCACCAGAACTTATAGTTTAAATTGGCTCGTTCTATTTTGAAGTTATACTTGGATCTGAGTTTTTTGAATGTGGACATGTGCCTCAATATCTATGCAATTAGGGAGAATTTTCTATCTTGCTCTTCTTTTTAGAAATGGTGGCTTCCAAGGACATCAGCCAGTTTCATGCTTAGGAAACTAGTAGAACTGTTGTTGATGATATTATGAAATTTTGGAGCAGTATGCTCTACAAATGTTGCTCAAAATTTCTCTTGACTGTGACTTCTATGCTATCCTGGATTTGTTAGATCACTTCTTTTTACATTGCACGATTTTTCTCCTGAAATTTAATCAAGATATTGCTACTTACAAGGTCATCTAATGTCTCAAAACTGGCAGCTTCAATGTTAAATTAATATCGTTCTTTTTTAAGATTATTAATTTGTCATTTCTCAATTTTTTGAATGGGAAGTATGTCTCCATATCTATGCACTTGCAATGCTGAGGATTGCCTATCATGCCTATATTTTTTTGGAATAGTTGCTTTGAAAGAATTTGCAGCCTTGCGTAGATTAAATTTCTCATATCATCTTTATTTTTGTGATGTATAATTTGCATAGAATCTAATGTAGGATGGTGAAGTTTGGACTTTCACTGTCAGAGCTTTAAAAGCACCTCTTCCAGAAAACACCATCAATGTGAATTATGATGGTTTTGCCGAAGGTATATTTTAAAATTTTTTTATCTTACAATTTTGATTGCTTTGTCTATTAGCAAGAAGCTATTATATTTCGTTTTACTTTTTTGAATTTGTTCAAGTGTGAAATAGACGTTAGAGTTGGTGATGAACTTCTCGTGGATGGTGGAATGGTCAGATTTGATGTGATTGAAAAGATTGGTCCAGATGTAAAGTGCAAATGCACCGATCCAGGATTGTTATTGCCAAGGGCCAACCTTACTTTTTGGCGAGATGGTAGCCTAGTGCGAGAGCGCAATGCCATGCTCCCTACCATTTCCTCGAAGGTGAGTGTATCACCAATATTTTTTTTGTATTGCATATGCTGTCATCATTTATAAGTTAAAATTGATGGTTTCTCTATTGATCAGACATTAAGTGAAAGCTGAAATAATTTTGGTAAAACTTCTCAGAAATAACTAGAATTACAAATGTGGGAGAATGTGTAAGAAACGTGTATAAGCTAATAATAGGGAAAATGTGGGAGAAAACAAAACTATGTTTTGGATTTCATTCTTTGTTTCTAATATCATATTCCATAAGCCTTAAGGATTTGATAATATAATTTATGAGGCTTTTGTGATGATTTTGACTTTCAAGGTGGATTATTATTTTATTTTTTTTTTACATTACCTTGTCTAGTTATTTTTCTTAAACTCACAGTGATATTATATCTCTAAGTGCAATGCTTTAACACATATTTATTATTTTTTAATCATTTTCTATATGATGTTCTGTAATCATGCATCTAAAAAAGAATGATACATGATTTATGTTATGATGACTAGTTGATATAGGAATGTAATTATGCGTATATATAAAACCACATTTTCATTTTCATGATGGCTAGAAAATGATTAACTTAAAATAAAATACATAGCAAAGTGTTAGATGACACCATGCATGAGGCATATGAGCTCATGGGGCCAACCACATGCTAATTGGAAAAATAATTTTAGGCCTAAAGAATTTGATGGTTTTAATGTCCTTCTTTAGATACGAATGATTTTGAAGTATTGCTATCAAGGATTTGTATTGGTAATTGTGATCTCTCTGCTTTTCAGATCAAAAGACATCCTTGACTAAATAAATCCACCATGTTCACTAATGCTATTGGTTAATTTGCTCAGCCTTACCTTCTTAACATTGCTAAGGGGTATTCATATTGCTAGGATTACCAAACTTTTGTTATATCATTGGATTGAAGGCTCTTTTTTTCATAAGATTCTAAGAGTTTATGATGATACTTGGACCCTTCATGCTAGGTTTGTTTTTGCAATACATCAATTATTTGGGTTTGACATCCAATGGAAAATGATTATTATTCCTTTGCATATATTTAAATGTTGTTTATCTTCTCTACTACCTTGTTAACAATGTTCGCTTATCCTTCTCCAGTGATGCTCCTTGTTGAGTCGTTGACTATTCTCTAATGTTTATTTTACTGTGTAGGGTAAGAGCATTACTTCTTGAATTCTTCTTATCTAAATTCCATTTATTCCTATCAAAGTATCTATTTATACTTGAAAGTTTTTATAAGAAAGTTACCTAGCAAAGTTCATCCTCACATATTGGACATTATGAACTGTTACGTATGTAATGCTTGTAATGTTGCTGCTAAAAAAATTATTTTAGGATATGTTTGGGGCAGCTGCAGCTTATCCAGCTCATCCAGGTAAGCAGCTTATTCTGATAATCTATTGATAAACATCTTATCCTAATAAGCTGACTAGCTGTTTGGTTTGTGCGTTTCGAAAATAATTTTTTTTTGGATAAATGACCATTCTGCCTCTGTTCTGGATAAATTGTTTAGCTGTTTGGTCTGTGCGTTTGAAAAATAACTTATTTGCAGATTTTTTTAGTTAAATGAACGATCTGTCACGCAGAACTTGTAATTTTCTTAACAAAACAATAATGTATACATATTAGATATTTTCGAAGCAATTATCCCTCTTCAAAATCATTCGACACATACAGACCACCCAAAAATTGCAACATAACATTATTTTATATGGAAAGTGACAAGTTTGTAAAATTAAAGTTTAAATGTTAAGACATGAAAATACAAAAGAGTTGAGTTACATTTATATCTCTCAAATATTTCTTATTACATCAAAGAAACACAATTACATAAATACAAAAGTGAAATACACCTTCACACACTAATATTGAGCGTTATGAGAACCAAAAAAAAAGACAAAAACAACATGTTAAAATTACAAGAAAAAAAATGACAATATTGACTTTAAAATGTAGAAGCATATCACGAAGAATGTTGCCCAGTTCTGACACCTCAGAACCCCAAGCAAACTTGTTCGACTGAGATATCGTGGAAACAAAAGCACTCGAGCCACAAACGGTGTTCTCAAGTTGTGATACCGTTGAACTCCGAGCAGCGCTGTCCAATTGGGATATCGTAGAAACTAATGTACTTTCGGCCCGAAAAAATTGCAGTCCTCCAGTTCGTGTGCTCACCGCGGACACATGTAGAATTGCCGCCCGCAGCTGTGTCTGGCGTGACATGAGCAATAAGGGCTGTAGCCCGCAGCGGCACATCACTTGCCCGGACTTCCCTGAATATCTGGAGCTCATCGTCCTATAATTTTTTAAAAAGAGGGTAGATCGGTTAAAAACTAAGAGAGATAAAGAAAATATACTTACCAAAGTGTGGAGGCAATGATTGCCGACAACAAAGTTACTTGATGCTGCAATGAGCCCATATGAAAGAAGTTTGCAGTCCACATGAAAGAAGTTCCCACATGAAAGAAGTTCCATAGAATTGAATAACAACCAATACATGATGCATTTACATACAAAAGCTGTATATTCCCTAGAACTCACGTGAATCAATTCCAACTACAAGAAATATATTTACGTATGCATATCCATTTCCCCTTCATCTTTACTCAACCTATCTTTTCTTACGTCTCCCCCAACAGAAAAAAACTGGGAGCAACTAATGACTGAAACATCACAATTCTATCACAATTCTTATGCATCAAGCAATTCAACCACCATCTAATAACTGAAGTAGAACTTTCCTTATAGGAGTAACAGAAAAGAATTGGAGACTACAACGGAAGCAGAACTTTGACTAAAGAGCATTTAGATTTTCATTCACTGTATTTCCAAAACCGTGTAATAATGACAAAAAAATCATAGAAGTTCATGCCTGTGAGGAAGAAAGAGACATATCAAAGCTTTGTTGTTGTTGTTGTTGTAAGCATTTCAAATAGAACTATGTGATTAAATATGAATTGAGTGGTATATATGTTAAATGAATGCGTAGTATATTCACAGTGAAGCCAGCTGACAACAATGATACCACTAGGGCTTCTAAAGCTGCCAAACAAGGACCAAGATTCCTATCAATATTTTTCAGCTTATAGAAAACTCCATAAACTGCATATCAATATTTCATTATATAACCCGCAATTCAAAATACAAAGGTTCCAGATAACTGGTTGAGCCACTACAGCCTGGTTGAGCCTTAAACTGAATATCAATATTTCATTATATTACATATCAAAGCATTTATTTAGCATATATCCCATTACAGCCAATAGGCAAGCATGGCCATGGTGCACCCAATGTAGAATCAACTAATACAAATAAACAATGTAGCAGTACAAAAATTTTGCAATTCAAACACCATCTAATAAGAAAATTAATTTTGCAGTGCGAGATCCTGTAGCATCCTTCAAATTTTCTAGAAAATGTATCTGTGATTTGCGCTACTCGCTCATATGTTCCAACTTCCCAACAAGCAAAAATATCAAAGAAGAATTGCAGCTGCTTCTCATCATTGCCCCAAATGAACAAAACCTATGTTTATGAGTGAAAAATAGGGCATGGCATTGCCCCAAATGATTCCACTAATGTTCTAAAAGATTTTGCAATCAGTATGGATACATCAAAGAAGAATTGCAGAATTGCAGCTGCTTCTCATCACCATAGGAGGCATCATTCATACACCTACAGCTTTACTGATTCATATGAGAACTGATTTATATGGCAAATTATCAAATTTCCTTAGCAATGGCAACAATGGTTGCTTAAAAATTTAAGCCATCCTAAAGTGCTTAATCATCACCACAGGAAATTTTCTTGGCATTTCAGCCAAAGGCATCTAGGCACAAGCATTCCAAACCGAGTAAAGAAATACCCAGCAATCTGCATTTATTGAAAGATCAAAATAGATCTTGCAATCAGTATAAATACATCACAACATAAGTCATTTGATCCCACAACATCAGGCACACCATGGATACATTACACATATAAATTACCCCCTCCTCACATTTGATCCCACAATAAATTTCTCATCATCTGAACCCAGAGTTATGTGGCTCCAATGGAAATAAACAGCTAGTCCCAACACATAAGCCGATGTTAGACAAGGAAGTATGTATGCCCTTAACCGATTTAGCACAGTAGAATTAAAAGATAGGAAGTTAATGCCACAAATGTTTGATTGACACGTGGATTACGCCTCTTTGATTGACACGTGGACTCGAGCTCCCTCGGGTTTATGCTCGGGCCTTCACCAGAATCCATAACTTGCTCGGGTATCAAGTCAACTGAGATGCCAGCAAAGTCCTGCTCACTGGGGTTGAACGCATGCTGACCCGTAACGACAACTCCTTTGAACATAACATCCAATTTATCTTCCAAGTCATGCTAAATTCCACAAACCTTAAATTTTTTTGCATTTAGTACTGCCTGCAACAAGAAGGGGGGAGAGGGTGGGAGCATATTAGAAAAAATAGAAGTATAAATGTTAATTAATTAAAGAGTTCGCAAGGGTACTATTATTACCTCTAACTTCTCAGTCCACCATTCCTTTGAAGCATCCATGGTGCGCTTGACAGGATCACAACCCAATCCCGTCGATCCTCGTTTAAGTTCCTTTCATAACTTTCACTCCTTCAGCTGATCCCACTTATTCTTGAATTTCAATCTATCATAATCCCGTCCTATCATTTCTTTAAATTTATTGAAAATATTCTGTTACCCTTCTTTGCTAAGTAGGTGGTAGGTCTATTTCCAAGTTTGATCTTCTTAATACAGAGATTGTATAAAATGTTTGTCACATCCTTGTCCCACATTGCTAATGTAGCTCATTCTTTGTTTTTATTCATAATGCAACTAATCATCGATCAAATAGTGCAACAACATTGAAAGTAAAATAAAGCATCAAGAGGAACAATGACAAATATAAAGAAGAACGAAAGAATAAACAATTCTTAAAAAGTCCACGATCATCCAACCATAAAGTGCAATCTTG